GGCATATAATATTCAACTGACTGATTTGTCCTATATTCTTAGGAGGCTCCATATATACACATGTAATAAATTTGATAATTTTCTCCAGCTAATTTGTCTCATGTCAATTTGATTATTAGACTAGCGAGTGGAATTTAGAAGGGTAGAAGAAAAATTATTTTTCCTCCCCTACAATCTTTTCAAGAGTTAGTCCTGGAACTCATTGATGAATTATTGATGGATCAATAAAAGTCTTATCATGAAGGAAACTTTCACTTGATAAATAATCCTTGATAAAGAATTATTTATAAACAATAGAATGAGAGGTGCCATGTGCATTGCAGCATTCACTATAGTATTCAATAATTCCCTTTTCTTAGATGACGACTTGTTCTTCACATTCTCTTCAGCTTGGCATTTTTTTCTTCTTAGTCTCAATCTGTCTTCCCTTTCCTCAGTGTTCCCATATCCATCATGGCAGAGTCCTGTTTCTATTTTATCTCTCTTCTAATAATTCAGATTGTATTAGTTACCTAGTGCTGCTGTAATAACTTATCATAAATTTAGTGGCTTGAAATAATACTATTATCTTACTGTTCTAGTGATCTGAAAGTCTCATGGGGCTGAAGTTAATGTGTTGGCAGGGTTGGTTCCTTTTGGAAGTTCATAGGGAAGAATCCATTTCTGCTTTTTTCAGATTCTAGAGGCCACTTGCATCCCTTGGTTTATGACTCCTTTGCATCATTCCAGCCTCTTGCTCTGTCATTACATCTCCTAATTCTGACTCTGATCCTTCTGTCCCTGTCTCACAAGGACACTTGTGATTGCATTGGGCACACCCAAATAATCCAAGATTACCTCCACATTGTGAGGTCCTTAATTTAATCATACCTGCAAAGTCCTTTATGCCATGCAAGGTAACATATTTACAGGTTCAGGGTTTAGGATGTGGACATCTATTGGGGAACATTATTCAGTCTCCCACACCAATCATATTTTTACGATCCTCAGCATTCTCTATAATTTTATCTATTCTTACAATTTAAAAAACGAAACATTATATTAAGTAAACAAAAGTTCGAGGTGCATGCACTTATTTGATTTAGTAAATAAATGCAAAAAAAGCCTATGCTCTTAAAAATAGGTGACATCTTTAGGATTACATCTAGAAGTTTATATTTTAAAATCTTGTACACAAATGCTAGAAACACATGCAAATTTTTAAACAGTCATTCTCTATGAGTACTAAAAACAATATTAACTTAACAGTCATGTTTTCAAATGATCACTGGATACTTGAGTACAGTTTGCAACAATTATATGAAATCTGTTCCCAGCTGAATCTTGGGGAAAACATACCTAAATTGTATATGTTACCTATGATAACACATATACATACCTCCACATATATACCTCCATATATTCATATTTACACATATAATAGATAAATTTGTGTATATGTTTCATATATATTAGATTTATACATATAGAACACATATATGTTAGATTTATACATCAACAAACACACATACACACACACGTCAATAGCTCTACCTGTGTTTGTCTTCCCTATTAGAATATAAGCATCTTAAGGGCCGGACCCCAACCTTGTTTATCCCTGAATCCTTAGTGTCTACACTGGGCCTGACCTAGCCAGTTCTCAGTGGTTTGCTTCTTAATTGAACATATTTGCATTACCATGTGACACACTAGAAAACAGAATAGAAGACACCTGACAAAAAATGAAACTACTAGACCCTTTCTTCTCCTGCATCGACCTTCTTAGAATCTCAGCCTTCGATAGATTAGACTCGAGAAATGTGAGAAATGTGGTTCAAACTGTCCTCCTCACACTTATGTCTCTGTTGCTATTTTCCTTTACTTCTTACACATTCTGATTGAATGAATCTCACAAACCACTTGGTTATCCCAAATTATGTCCTGCTCCTTGCCCACACACGATATCTGAAAAGTCCCCACTTACCATACCTGTAGGCTCTCCCACTCGTTTCCTGCACCCACTACTTCGTTTCTTCTGCCCCCTTCCTCCACCTCTCATGTTACTCTTCACAATTCATCTTCAAATTGTCTCCCATTTCCTTTACTTTGTATAGTCAAAGGATAAATACTGCAGAAGAGGGCAGAGAATTCTAGAAATATTCAATTTCTAAACATTATTTAAACTAATGGATTATCTTTTCCTGAAACAAAATGATATTAATGATGTCCCTAGAAAATAGTAATTTTTGAATATTTTGGAATTGGTACATCTTATTATTGCTTTGATTTCCCAATTCCCCTGCTAACATTCCATTCCTCTTCTAAAAAAAAAAAAATTATATATGATTATGCATCCCATAAAAACAAATCTTGACTTTTACCAGTTCTACCACTAATACCGAAAGAAGAGTAAAAAAAGGTGAGAAATTTTTCAACTAACATACCAGTCAATTCCCAAGGCAGGATAAAAAATAATCTAAAGACTTGATTAAATTCATTTTACACTTAAAAGTCACAATACTTACCTACAATTCTCAAGTCACTGTCTGTTTAAAATATGACAGTTTCAAAAAGAAAAGGTACATTTTATAGAACACCTCTTCCCAATCAGAGGAAATTTTCCAGAAACTATCAAGATTCTTGTTCACAAATCCTACATTAGCAAATAAAATGTGACTCCCCTTTGCACTGAGCACAGATAGAGAAAAAGATTGATATGATAATATCGAAGAGAATTAAAATGTTATACAAATAAAAAGCTTTTATTATTAACTGAAGCAACTCAGAATCAACCCTCCTTTTTATTCTTTTTCTATGGTCATAGGTCAGCAATCTTTTTCTAAAGGGCCAAATAGTAAATACTTTATTTTAGGCTTTGTAATTCATATTCAAAAACTCAACTCTGCCATTATAGCAGAAAGCAGTCATAGACAATATGGTAAAAGACTGGGCCTGGGCAGAATGTTCTGCAGTGGAGCTGGCAATATTGGACCTGCCTCTGGTCTATGCTAACCAACCCTATGGGAAAAACACATCTCATTTTTCCTCCTTTCCCTGTAGAGGGGGAATACTAAATGAAAAAGAAAAAAAAAAAAGTTGAAACCTCATTTTCAAGACAAAAAATACTGAGGTTCTGAATGGTTGGGTGACTTGCCAATGAGCCAACAAATTCATTTGTGTGGAAGTGAGACCAGAGCCCATTTGAAATTATAAAACATTTCTTGACCACTTACTATGTCAGGTAAGATTGAAAGCAATTATATCTTATCTGATTTCACCTTCTCAACAACTTTCTAAGGTAAATATTATCATCTTTATTTCACGGATGAAGAAATTGAGATTCAGAGGGGTTAAGTAACATGCTTAGGGTTTCACAGTAGGCACGTGGTAGAGGGAAGAGCCAGGGTTTTTAACCCTCTGCTACTTGCTGCTGCTATTTCTGCTGCCGTTGCTGCAACATGCCCACCATTCACTTTCCACTGCATACTATTCATGATCCTCTCGAGAAGCTTTTTCATTTCAGCATGTGTATTTTCTATCCTTGGAAGCCAACATTAGACTTCTCACAGTCATATCTGACCTAAGCTGTCATGGTTAGGAATATTTCTCCCTCAGAGGCACTCACATAACCTGACTTGTCTGTCCAGTCTAACTATAATTCTGCAACACAGAAACAGGGAGTGGACCTTGCTTTTACACACCCACAGCCAACCCCATGCAGAAAGGCTGAGAAATGTAAGTGTTTGATCTTTGATTGCTCAACATCCATCCAGGAAGATCCACACAAGTGTCCCTCCCACTCTGTCCGAGCCTGCAGCAGCAATGTGGCTCATTCCAGTGTCTGCAGCCACCAAGAGTTCAGAGAAGGACCTCAGACAAACTGGACTGTAACTCACTTTCATTTCACAGATAAAATGTGTGATTCTTTTAGTAAGTTCAGCCTTTCCAGCACCTTTAATGCACTACATTAACATCTGCCCACTTCACACATTTATTTCCATAAGCCTCATGGGACAAACAGGTGTAGAAAATGTTGAAAGAAATAGAGACCTTCAGTGCATGCTTCTTTTAAGGATAAAGGTATTTCCTTATGCAGATTTGGCAAGTGTATACCCCTCTTAAGCCTCCACTATTAAAAGCCATTGCCAGCTAAATGACAAGCTATATGAGCTGAACAAAGTTTTATAAATTGGCATATTATAAAATCACATATTTTTCTTCATGTATCCTATACAAGAATATAAGTCACCATTACTTGTCCATTTACTCAAGGAGAAGTTATGTGGTCTATGAACTTTTATTTTCATCTCAGACTCTAGAAAAGGGCACATAGAAAATGTATGATCCGTGAGCTCACATTACTGAAACCTATAAGCTTGTATTTCTTCTCTGCCTTTCCTTTCCCAACCAAGCCCCATTTTGCTTCTGTTAAAATATAGGTTCGAATGAAAAAATTAAATAAGAGAAAACTTCTGTCTTGCATCAAGGGTGATTCCTACTGGGTCTAATAAAGCTGCTTGATAAGTTCTATTGTCCTTTCACTCTTTAATCCATATCTTTATTTCTCCAGCAGTAAGAAAAAAAAATCTGGAGTCAAACTGATTGAGGCAGCCCAGAGGAGTCTCCAGTAAAGTAAGACAAGACTGAGATGGTGAAGCAATGGGTCCTATCATCAAAACAACTGTATGAAACACCTTCCTTTCCTTTAACCTCTCACTCAGCAGAAGTCACGGCAGAAAGAAACAGTGAGAGATCACAATGTCTCTTTCAGGGGTTTCCTGGGCTGACTGCAAAAGTTAGAAGGAAACCAACATATTTCACATAACTGTGTGATTTGCCAAGATAGCAAAGGCAAATCAGGAAATGTTAAAATAGTGTCATTGAAGTCATTTACTGAAGGTAAATGGAGTTATTTTTAAAATAACAACAAAAAGTTACCATCAAGAGGATCTCACAGAAGAAGCACTTCAGATATCTCCAAGCAAATGCTTAACCACAGAAAACAAATCCCAATGTTGTACCTGAAGTTCCCACTGCCAGAGAAGTAGCTGGGTAGCTCCCCGGGTCTCCCAGGGAAGGAATGCAGCCCGCCCTGTGGGTTGACCCACCCTTCACAGCCAAATCCCACGGAGGCCTGAGCAAATAACACTGGCAAAGGCAAAGACATTCTTTAGGGATTGTGCAGAGGAATTTGGCAGTGCTGTCTTCCTCACAAGGTGTGGCACAAAGAACGAGTTCCTCAGCCAGGGGCAAAGGATTATCTACGGCCTCCTTAGAAGAAATCAATTCTAAACTGTCTTTATCTAGAAACCCACCTTTACATTAAAATGCCTATAGCTTTACTTTCCTCTACTACTGATATCTTTAAAATATTTTTTAAAAATCAAAGCAAAACAAAACTTACCTTGGCAAATATTACTTGTTCTGAACCAAGTAAAGGATGAAACTAACACAGAATCTTTTGCAGAAAGGTCATATCTGCTTTTCTCTTCCCTTCCCTCCAACCCTTCGTGGAACACCAAAGAGACAGCAGCTCCTGACATTCACGATGCACTGTGGAAACACAGTAAGGGTGATGCAAGTACTTCTAACATCCAAGGAAGGAAGAGTGACAGGCCTCAGACCCAGAACAGGCCCTCCATAGTGTCCTTTCTCAGTCCCAAAGGGCACCATGTGTACAGAGAGATCACAACGTCCCTTTGACTATAACCTTGTTTCTACAGGCCATATCAGTTGTGGGAAAAATCAAAGGCTTGAGAGGAATTTGGTTCCAGCCCCCATCTTTTTATCTCAAGGATTCCTACTAGACCTAACCTGAAGTCACTGGTCTTCTATTTTTGTTGTGTGGTTCTGCTCACTTTAGATGCAATACAATATTAGGTGATAAAAGGACTGTTACTCTGTTGGCCTGCTTTTCTGTATTGGAGAGGAGGAATCTTATGCTGAGTGAGAGAATCAGGGAGACTGAAGGAAGAGGTGAGGTGAGTTGTCAGTCTGGGCTAAGGGCTGAGTCTCCTGTTGATTCTCAGTGGGATGCAATTGTCATGATCCTGTGAATCATTTGTGAACTAGGCATGACCCTCTTGAATGCCAGTATTGAGTAGGTGGAGCACTGAAAGGATTTTTGTTGTTGTTATTTTGGTTTTTTCAACGAGGAAGACTTCTGACTTATAATCTATGAGTAGAGTAGATGCAGTAAGCCAGTTTCAGGAGACCAAACAAGCAAACTAAAAGATAAAAAGGATGTTGGGAGAAAGAAGTCATAAAAAACGTCTGTAGAATAGTATCGACCCTTTGGGACTAGGCTAGAGTTACCTCAGGGACAGAGAGCTGTACTGTCTGTATCATTTCTTTGTATGCTGGAACAAAAGCGATTAAGGAAGAGTGATTTACAGGCTTTCCCTCTCCCCAGCCCTATTAGAGCATGTGGACATTGTCCGCTCAGGGGTACTGTCTACTGTCTGAAAATTCCAGGTCAATTTTCAAGAGGAGAGTACTCATAGTCAAAGACCAACTACACACCATAGGAACTGTGCAAGATGAAGGAGAAGGAAATCGATGCATCCTAAAAGTCTGCTGTGTCCTAAAGGTCTATTGGATTTGCCTTTTTTGAAGGATGTGATCAAAAAGCGAGATGGCAGGGAGAAGGCTGGTGAATCAGAGAGCAGTTGGGGGATAAGAGAGTGAGAGACTCCCTAGAGTTGCTGTTACTGGGCTCTAGAGAAGTACTATCCGAAAAATTCTGATTGCCTATGTCTACCAGCATAAAAATATTTCAAACTCATACCACCTATATAGTATATGGACTTCATTTTTGTATTTTTGTTTATTTTTTGTTGTGTGAATTATCTGTGGTTAAGTCAGCACTATTCACGCACCAAGATCTGTTACTCACAAGGGCTAAAAGACTAGGGACCACATTTCTCAGAATCTCTGCAGCAGGGGTCTACGTTATATTCCACCTATAAGATACTCACACGAGCTTAAGAGGGTGGGAGAGAAGGAGAAATCATGATATTGTTCCTGTGTCCCTGGCAGGCACATCATGGGCTTTGGCAGATTGTAGATGTAAGATGTTTCCAGAAGCTTCGGGGCATCTTCCTGTGAGTTATTTCATTTCGGTGGTGAACAGAGCTGAATCACGGTCAGCCATTTCCTGCAATTCCTGCGAGTCCTGATTCCCTGAATGCCGCCAGCAGCTTTGTTCTACATCCTTCCAGCCTTTCTGTTTTCTTAGCAGAAATTTGACTGACACATAGTCCTTATAAAGCATAATATGCATAATGGAAATAAAAAAAGAAACAAAAAAGAATAACATAAATACTATCTTAATTATTCTATTTTATAAATAGCATAAAAACTTTTTCTCAATAAAAATATTAGTTTGTAATTAATACTTTTCAATTAATTAGCATATAATTTGACTGGTCCTAAATTTGTTTTATTTCAATACTTACTTTTAGTAGCTGTAAGAACTAAAAAAAGACATCTCAGAAAAATATATATTAAAATGGAAAATAGACCTTATTAGCTATGCTTACTAAATTGTGATATGCAAGAAATTTATAATATGGAGAAAATTATGAATCTTTCCAGAAGGACATTAAGTAATACATAAATAAAATGGAAACAGATCTTGTGTTCTTAGAGAGAAAGACTTAATATTAGAAAGACAGTAATTTCCTGCTAAATAATCTTTTGACTTACTACAGTTCTAATCAAAACATCAACAGAGCTCTTCATGGAAGTCAGTAAATTGATTCTAAAACAGATGAGAGCGAATGCCCAAGAACTTTCTGAATAAGAAGACAGTGTTGGGACGTAGGACTTGTCTCGCTGGATATAAGAACTTGTTATAAGGCTGTAGTAATTAATACAGTGATGAACAAGGATGGATAAATTGATTAATTGGCTAAATACCACAGAAGAAAACCCACACAAACATTTAACCTTGTTATATAACAGAGTTGTATGTATTGAGCCACTCGATTAGTGTACTCTGTTATGGCAGCCCTAGCTAACAAATATAGTCTCCAAGCAGGAATTTCTAAAAGTCGTTTCTCTATATTTCCAGGTTTACATGAGAGTAAGGAGAAGCCTAAAACACACTAGCACCTTCTGCAGAATGACTTCTGTGTAGCTACTTTGGCATCATTACAGAAAAAAAGAAACGGATAAATATTATTAGATTCTAAACTCTCTCGCAAGGTTCTCTTCTGAACTTATGATTATAAAATTAAATTTCACCTGATTGTCACAAATGTGTGTATCAATCCTTCATTTTGCTCCTCTTTGGTGATCATTGCATATTAGCATTTATTATATTGACAACGGTCCATACATCTGTCATTATTAATAACCAAATAATATTCCTTTATGTTTATGAAATCTATAAAATGGTTGGCATGAAAAAGTTATGCTGCTGTTACCAAAAATGGTTACTAGGGAAATGACATGAATCACATGACTGTGAGAGACATCGGAACCAACCTGAAAACCACACTTCCCACCAAAGCCAATGCTACTCTCTACCATTCAAAGCCAAGAGACACTAACAGCAAACACCGAGGCAGCTAAGCAGCAAGGACACACAGTCCCAGAGCACAGCTGCATGGCTGCACTCAGAATAAGAAAAGCCATTCTCCAAGTAATACATAACCTTTTTCTGAGGATCTTAGAGCAAATGAACTTCCATTTAATGTAGGTGATCAAGATCACTGTCCTGAAGATGCAGAGAAAGAGAATCTTTTGTCCTAACAGGAACCCTAATATAAAACGTGACCCACATGTCCAAGTGACACAAATTTGTTCTCTGAACCATGTTTTCTGAGACTTCAGTAAGCTAATAACACTGTGTGTCTTCCCTAGAGTCAGGCCCAGGACCATGGCTGCTATTCTACAGGCACCACCATGAAAGCTCAGGTTAGGAGTCTGCTAATCTGAATTTAGATTCAGCTGGTTGGCCAATGAGAACAGTCCAGAAAATCCTCTCAGCATTGTAGCTGTCAGGGGAGTACACAATGCAGAAGGAAACTAGATAATTCCAGAATTTGCCTTAGCAGATCTATGAGAGTTTATTTTAAAATTGGCTTGAAGATCATTCATTAAAAGCCAAATAAAATATAATTGTTTTCTACCTCTAAAATTCTCCAAATTTATTATAACTCCTAAAAAAACAAACAAAAAAACCAAATGATCAAAAACAACTAAAAATCTTTGACAATATTTAGGTCAGCTTCTCAGATGATTAATTAATTAATGACTGTGCTGGGTGAGTTTTAAAAACTCACAATAGTATATAGGCTCTTCATTTCTCTGGATTCGAATTTTTCTAGATTTGAAACTTGTTATTTTCTTAATCAATAGACTTTGTTTTTAGAGTATTTTTAGATTCATAGAAAAATTAGAAAAAGTACGGAGTTCCATATAACCTTGCCCACTCCACCCTCTTGATTTCCTCTATTATTAACCTCTTGCATTGATGTGGTATACTTGTTATAATTGATGAGCTAATATTGATAGATTATTATTAACCAAAGTCCACAGTTTACATTAATGTTCACTCTTTGTGTTGTACCATTCTACAAATTTCGACAAATTCATACATAGGCTTAGTGCCTTGCCAATAATTAGTACATGCACACGTACACACACACACAAACCAGTCATTTAGAATTGACACACAACAACATGAATGCACCAAGTACAGGAAACACTGAAGTTTGTGGTAAAGACTATTCAACACATTAAATTTATAGTCTTAGGCCGATACTAGACAGAAGTCCCACATTGGTGACTTTGAAATTTGTTCTCCTATTAAAACAATATTTATGGGGTGGAAAATGGGGGCAGAAAAGTTACAAATGGGTTCTAAAGTCTTTTTTAGTAGATTTACCTATTGTAAAGGTATAAGTGAAGTGAGCCCCAAACAATTGACATATTCTATGGACTGAGCTTGTTTATGTTGCTGAAAGCCAGAGTTCTCGCTAAAGAAGAAGGGACATACAAACACACATGGTGAATGGCAAAGAAGAGCCTCATGGGAATGGATTGGAATTGGACCTACCAA